GGGCTGACGAGACGTGAGACGTGCGGATCCATATGCAAAGCTTTATTTGGAGAAGACTGAGACATGGTCATAAGACAGGCAGGGTAAACAGTGGCAACCAGGACAATGGCGGGCAAGGCACAAGAATAATCCTAGGGCTAGCGTGGGTCGACGATAGGCAGACAGAGTCACAGGGGCAAGGCTAAAGGGAGAAGTCCAGGAAAACAGGCGAAGATCAAAACCGAAGGAGACAGACAAGGCAAGGCAAAACTAAGCTAAGGCTAAGGCTAAGATCGAAAACCGAAGGAAACAGACAAGGCAAGGCAAAACTAGGCTAAGGCTAGGAAACGACTTAGGGCTCTGTAGAGTAGCTATCGCTAGGAGAGTGATAAATCGCTAGACAATACTCGGCAGAGGGAAGGAAACAGAGTGAGTGATAAATAGTGAGGGAGTGATACGAAACAGCTGTGTGCAATCTGTGCTGAGTGCAATGAATGATGGGATATGTAGTCCGGAGAGATGTGCAACAGTGTCTAGTGCGAGAGTAAATTAAATTGGAAGTTCATGGACCGGATTCATGACAGAGTATTTCTGGGTGCCACCACCATCCTAGGAGCTGAAGCGAGCGCCGCTGCCTTGGGAGGTTTTGCAGCCTCAGCCACCACCTCTGGAGAAAATGCAGCAGGCACCATTGCTTCGGGGAACACAGCAGCGAGCACCACTAACTCAGGAGATTCTGCAGCTTCAGCCGCCACCTCTGGAGACCTAATAGTGGGAGTTCTGTGGTGGTGTATGCAGCCAAAACACACCAAAAAGCGATCCCCATCAAGGGAAGCGCTTCAGACAGGGGAATGAGTTCAGGAACAGGAGGGCTAAAGTGAGTGGGTTTGGGGATACCAGCTGCGTGTGCAGACACCAGCGGTGCATCCCTCACACTGGACACCAGACTGGAATACCGACGGACCGACCCCGACACTCTGGGTGCAACAGACAGGATGTGACCTGACTCTGGATGATCAGCTGTGATGCGACGTGAATCTGGATGACTAGCTGAGACGTGACGTGACTCTGGATGAACAGCTGAGACATGGCAAGGCTCTAGAAGGTCAGCTGTGACGTGACTGGACTCATGAAGATCAGTTGTGACTTGACTTGACTCATTACGATCAACTGTGACTAAACTCGACTCAGGAAGATCAGCGGTGACTAGACTTGACTGAGGAAGATCAACTGTGACCTGACTTGCCTCATGACAATCAACTGTGACTTGACTAGACTCATAACTATCAGCTGTGACTAGACTAGACTCATGATAGTGAACTGTAACTTGACTTGCCTCAGGAAGATCTGTTGTGTCTGCCATTTTGCGATCAGACTCTGCTGTTGCCGCCATTTTGTGAGCGTGCTCTAGTGCGGCCGCCATTACCAGAGTGAGTGCGGGGTCGCGTTCCTCCGCGATACCCACAGTGAACGCTGACCCAGCAGTCAGCAAAGCATAGTCTATAAAGTCCTTTAGACTACAATTAAATTGAGCGACGTATTCCTCAATAGGTGAGCTCCCCTGTCGTAAATCGAATAGGCGGGTGATTGGGTCCATACTTGGCCAATGCTCCTCAGAAAAGCTGCTGGATCCTTGTTTGGCCGAGTGGAATCATGTGCAACAGTGTGTAGTGCGAGAGTCAATGAAATTGGAAGTTCGTGGACCGGATTCGCGACAATATTCATCTTTACAGCACTTTGAACCATGGATACGTGTTTGTAAAAAGAGATCAGCTTTACTGTTGCGTGTTTGTGTGTGTATGTGTGTCTGTGGCATTTTGCAGATTAGGTATGGTGTCTGTCTGGCTGCACCCCCTCCCCCTCCTTTCTTGAGCTCAGTGTCTCACCGAAGCCTCTAGAAATGAGATGGCATTTGTAACAACATGTACACATACTGAGGATGGGTATCAAGAAAAATTCAATTTTCTTCCAGCAGAGGGCTCAGTTTACCACATGCTTTCTTTGTCTTGCTGTCAGGCCATAGACTGGAGAGAGGGGTTGTATGTGTTTGCATAAAATAGAGATTTTTGACCGTGCTGTAAAGGGCAAAAACTGTTTTCTTGTCTGTATGTGTTCCTGTGTTAGTTAACTGTGTTTATACTACTACTTTCAAGTTTGAGGTTAGTACGATTATTTTGTTTTTGAAAGAAGTCTTTTATACTCACCAAAGCTGCATATGATCAAAAATTTGAATCATTTTGTGAAATATTAGTCGATTTAAAATAATTGTTTTCTATCTGAATATATATAATGTAATTTATTCCTGTAATGGCAAAGCTGATTTTTTAAACAGCCATTACTCTAGTCTTCAGAGTTGCGTGATTCTTCAGAAATGATTCTGTTCTGTTTGATATTTTTGTGTACACCTACAAATAAATTTTTTCCAAGATTCTCTGATTAATAAAAAAAAAAAAACAGCATTTAGAATTTTGAAATAGTTTTTATGCAGGACGTTTTGTAAAAAATATAAATGTTCCAATATTCCTCTACAGAACAGGTTTGGATTCATCATGTTTTTTTCATGAAATTATATCATTATCAGCAGTTCCCCTTAAATTCTTTAACAAACATTTGATTCTAATCTATGCAGTGTGTTTAGGGGTTTGGGTTTATGATGGGGTTTTGTACCCACACTAAAACAATGATTTAGGGAGTCAATTTACCATTCACACTATAGCAAGGTAATTTCAAATTTTTTAGGTAAACCAATCATTAACCATTACATTGTTGTTCTCTATTTCTATTCTGCTTCATTCTGTCTCTATTAAAAACCCCTGGCATTTCATGTGTCATGAGTTCACTGGAAGCTGAGGCAAAGACACATATGCTAATTGTTGGATGTGCATTTGTTTCCCTTTTTTATTCCTTTTTTGTATACATACCAGTTTAAATGTATATAACGTCATGCTAAACGTCAAAGATAATGCAGAATTCACATTGAAGTGCTGTTCTTTCGCATGATAAATTGATGCAGTAACTGTTATCTCTGACAGTATATGACATATGGGATCATGGTGGAGGTTCTCTGTGCTCTGAAGTGTCTCATTACAGTCTGCTATCCCGCCATGACTAGAATCAGAATACATTTAAATTTAAAATACATTCAAATAGAAAACCGTTATTTTAAACTGTAATAATATTTCGCATTTCTGACCACTGGACAGGACTGTCCGCTTGCTTGTGAGCTCATTCTATTTCTTTTTTCCGAGAGCGCTGAGTCATTCTCTATATCTCATGAGGCTTGCCTCATGATGTCTCCTTCCTCACATATACACACACTCACGCTCACTGTTATAGCAGTCTAGAGCGAAATTTGTCAGAGATGATGCATTGAATATGGAATGAGCCTTTGCACCGAACAAGCAAAATGTGTCTGCAACAATGTTTACCACCAGATTTGAACCTCCTCAAAAGGATTATTTAGGTTTAGTCTCCCATCTAAAATGAAAAAGGAAAGCAAATATTTCATCCCCCCACTTTAGAGTCTATCTGCAGGGTTTTAAAGAGACAGTTAACCCCAAAAAATGACAGTTTTGTCATCATTTTTTATTGTTTTTTACGTAAAACACAAAAAGAGATGTTTAGCAGTATGTTCCTGCTGCTCTTTTCATTTTTCCATACAATGAAAATTAATGGACTGTCAAACTCGAAAAATGTAAAACTGGGTGTATTTTATTCAGCATCCTTTTTGATTTCTTTTAAAGCTGTCAGTCATGATGCTTTGCCCCTCCCCCAAACTTCTGCCTTTAACAAAATCGATTCTCAATTCCTCAATTCCTCCACCAGTAGGGAGCACTATCGCCACATTTAGTCCTCCTCTCCTCCATCCCTGCCTCCCCTCCCTTATCTGTCTCCTCCTTCTCCTATGGGTCATTCATGCACTGGTGTGAACCGGTGAGCGAGAGAGAAAGAGAGAGAGGGAAAACGACAGATACGGCACAAGCAGTGGAGAGGCTGTAGCAGTAGCGATAGCAGAAAGCGATTCACAGTCCTTCCCCTCACCCAGCCTAGCATGCAGGCCAGTACCATGGCAGCCGCAGATTCGACCAAGATGGAAGGTTTCTGGAGCAACTGGAAGTGCAAGGGTAGGAGGAAGGGGGTCCTGGGGTACAGTTTACCACATGCTTTCTTTGTCTTGCTGTCAGGCCATAGACTGGAGAGAGGGGTTGTATGTGTTTGCATAAAATAGAGATTTTTGACCGTGCTGTAAAGGGCAAAAACTGTTTTCTTGTCTGTATGTGTTCCTGTGTTAGTTAACTGTGTTTATACTACTACTTTCAAGTTTGAGGTTAGTACGATTATTTTGTTTTTGAAAGAAGTCTTTTATACTCACCAAAGCTGCATATGATCAAAAATTTGAATCATTTTGTGAAATATTAGTCGATTTAAAATAATTGTTTTCTATCTGAATATATATAATGTAATTTATTCCTGTAATGGCAAAGCTGATTTTTTAAACAGCCATTACTCTAGTCTTCAGAGTTGCGTGATTCTTCAGAAATGATTCTGTTCTGTTTGATATTTTTGTGTACACCTACAAATAAATTTTTTCCAAGATTCTCTGATTAATAAAAAAAAAAAAACAGCATTTAGAATTTTGAAATAGTTTTTATGCAGGACGTTTTGTAAAAAATATAAATGTTCCAATATTCCTCTACAGAACAGGTTTGGATTCATCATGTTTTTTTCATGAAATTATATCATTATCAGCAGTTCCCCTTAAATTCTTTAACAAACATTTGATTCTAATCTATGCAGTGTGTTTAGGGGTTTGGGTTTATGATGGGGTTTTGTACCCACACTAAAACAATGATTTAGGGAGTCAATTTACCATTCACACTATAGCAAGGTAATTTCAAATTTTTTAGGTAAACCAATCATTAACCATTACATTGTTGTTCTCTATTTCTATTCTGCTTCATTCTGTCTCTATTAAAAACCCCTGGCATTTCATGTGTCATGAGTTCACTGGAAGCTGAGGCAAAGACACATATGCTAATTGTTGGATGTGCATTTGTTTCCCTTTTTTATTCCTTTTTTGTATACATACCAGTTTAAATGTATATAACGTCATGCTAAACGTCAAAGATAATGCAGAATTCACATTGAAGTGCTGTTCTTTCGCATGATAAATTGATGCAGTAACTGTTATCTCTGACAGTATATGACATATGGGATCATGGTGGAGGTTCTCTGTGCTCTGAAGTGTCTCATTACAGTCTGCTATCCCGCCATGACTAGAATCAGAATACATTTAAATTTAAAATACATTCAAATAGAAAACCGTTATTTTAAACTGTAATAATATTTCGCATTTCTGACCACTGGACAGGACTGTCCGCTTGCTTGTGAGCTCATTCTATTTCTTTTTTCCGAGAGCGCTGAGTCATTCTCTATATCTCATGAGGCTTGCCTCATGATGTCTCCTTCCTCACATATACACACACTCACGCTCACTGTTATAGCAGTCTAGAGCGAAATTTGTCAGAGATGATGCATTGAATATGGAATGAGCCTTTGCACCGAACAAGCAAAATGTATCTGCAACAATGTTTACCACCAGATTTGAACCTCCTCAAAAGGATTATTTAGGTTTAGTCTCCCATCTAAAATGAAAAAGGAAAGCAAATATTTCATCCCCCCACTTTAGAGTCTATCTGCAGGGTTTTAAAGAGACAGTTAACCCCAAAAAAATGACAGTTTTGTCATCATTTTTTATTGTTTTTTACGTAAAACACAAAAAGAGATGTTTAGCAGTATGTTCCTGCTGCTCTTTTCATTTTTCCATACAATGAAAATGAATGGACTGTCAAACTCGAAAAATGTAAAACTGGGTGTATTTTATTCAGCATCCTTTTTGATTTCTTTTAAAGCTGTCAGTCATGATGCTTTGCCCCTCCCCCAAACTTCTGCCTTTAACAAAATCGATTCTCAATTCCTCAATTCCTCCACCAGTAGGGAGCACTATCGCCACATTTAGTCCTCCTCTCCTCCATCCCTGCCTCCCCTCCCTTATCTGTCTCCTCCTTCTCCTATGGGTCATTCATGCACTGGTGTGAACCGGTGAGCGAGAGAGAAAGAGAGAGAGGGAAAACGACAGATACGGCACAAGCAGTGGAGAGGCTGTAGCAGTAGCGATAGCAGAAAGCGATTCACAGTCCTTCCCCTCACCCAGCCTAGCATGCAGGCCAGTACCATGGCAGCCGCAGATTCGACCAAGATGGAAGGTTTCTGGAGCAACTGGAAGTGCAAGGGTAGGAGGAAGGGGGTCCTGGGGTACAGGGGATGCAAGATGGGCGTGAATGTCGTGGGACGGAGAGGATGCATGTGCATGTCTGGGGTTGATGATGTTTTTTTTGTTTTGTTTTTTTTGAGGCTGCTGGATTTTAAGGGGAGGTGCATGTGGGATTCTGGAAGATGCTCAGACACACGCCTGCTTTTTTTTTTTTTTTGCATCAAGGCCATCATGGGCATATGAGAGCCAGACTGGGGGGTTTGAGACAGCTGGGCACGCCCTTCCTCTCCTCCCTCTTCGTTGTACTTAGGGGGTCCATCCTGAATTCATAGACTCTGGGTGTGTTTGATTAGAATTAATAGGCATTGATGTGCATGACTGCCTCATTTTTAGGTCAGATGCGCATTTGGATGCGGATAGTTCCATAAAGAGCTGTCGAATGCCTTTTTAAGTGTCTTCACGTTTGGCTTGCTTGTGTTGATCATAAAGGCCTTCAGGCTGCATTGGGAGCAGAAAGCGACAGAAGAAAAGACGAAAGAGAGATGTGTGGGGTGTGGCTACCTGACTCTACAGTCAGCTCATAGTGTTGTCTATGACAGTTGTTTATTCTGTGAAAGAATGGATACATGTGCATGTGTGTTTATGTGTATAATCATAGTGAGTTTCATTTATTATCCACTGTAAGAAAACTGTGCATTCACCCTTTTAATAAATCCAATACCTATACTATCACATTAGAGTATAATACCTAGATCACATTAGAGGGACTCGTGCAGGAGGAAGAAAACTCGAACGATTTAAGAGGGAGGGTTTCTGGTAGTAGCTATTTATATATTGAGCATTTAACATCTGTGACAGTTCAAGGGCTTATAAACACAAATAGATCCACATCAATGAATGTTATGCTTCTTTATGTGGGAGTATTTAAATATTTATGGAATTTAGTTTGTTCCTTTCATGTTTAAGATTTCTGGGAACATTTTACAATACTTTTCAATTATTTAACACATTAGGTATCATTAACTAACAATGAACACATTTTTACAGCATTTAGGGTAATGTTAATTTATAAATTAATTATTGTTCATTTTTAATTAATCTTCACTCATAAAACATAAAATAATGTTAATTTATAGAATCTAAAATGTCAAATTGTATTAGTGTATGTACAAATAAACGTTAACCTGGATTAATAATGTACCATGTAAAGTATTTTTCATTGTTATCTTTCATTGTTATCTTAGTCAATGCTATCTATCTATCTATCTATCTATCCAAAAATACTGTCATGGCAAATCCCATAATAATGTAGAACCTCATTGTAACTTACTTTCTGCTGTGTAACTCAAAAGAAGATATTTTGTAGAATGTTTTGAACTGTTTTTGACCATATAATAAATGTCAGTCAAATGGGCTTTCATTGTATGGGGTCCAAAATGTCACTTTTTATAACACATAATTGGGGAAGTCGTGGCCTAATGGTTAGAGAGTCGGACTCATAGCCCAAAGGATGTGGGTTCGAGTCTCGTACCGGCAGGGATTGTAGGTGGGGGGAGGGAATGCACAGCGCTCTCTCCCACCTTCAATACCACGACTACTAGTTCATATTATGCATATTCACATCCCAAATGACATGTACTTGTGGTCTTGTTGTCTTCGTTGCTTAGTGTCTATGTGTGTGCACAAGACCGCAAAGCGTCCCATTTGACATTTTAGGTTTTAAAAAGAGCTCAGAGCGCCCCCTTTGTGCCCTTAATGTGTACTTTCTGATGCAGACTCTGCTGCGTAATAGTCTATGCAGGATTAGGTCAGCAAAGTGGTTTCGGAGGGGGACTGTTTTGGGATAGGAAGGATTCTCAGCAGTTGCATATATTACATCCCTATATTTGCCTAATATTTCAAATCTAACTTGTGTTATAATTGTAAGAGTATACATGTATGCCCTATAGACTTATGCTGTCCCATTTAGGGCAGTATGATGAACCAGTCTAGAGAGTGATTAAACACAGCCATTAATTACTGCTGACTTTTGAATCTCTTTCTATCTCATTGTGGCATCCATAATGTTTTCTTCACTGTTTTACCAGGCCCATTTTGTATGTTTATCTGGGGGCTGTTTGAGATGTCACGGCATATGACACTTCTTTGAAAGAGCTTTTATTATTGCTAGCAGATAAATGTCATTTGCCTTCTGTCTTTCTGGAGCTCCTTGTCCCATGCCAAGATTGTTGTCATCCAGATTAGTGTGTAGTGTGTAAGAATGTTAGTCATCGGCTGTCTGAAGTGATCTCTTTGTTTTAGGAGTATGATCCACTGATGTCAAGAGCAGGCTATGTGTCTAAAATGGAGCATGACCTTAAAAGAACTATACAATCTGCATTCGGGCTTGTAGTATATACACATATATTGTTTATGTTTATATAAATAAATTGTTTATGCCTTTCTGTAAGTATTCTTTACTGGTACGGTATGTATATTATACAGCATGCTCTGTTGTGTAGTGCTTAATAGGTTCTTCACAGAGATGCCATAAAAGAACCAATTTTGGTTCCAGAAAGAGCCATTCAGAACGATCTCATTCTGTGAAACAGAAAGGTTCTTCAGATGGTAAAGGTTTTTTATGGAACCATTTAAACAAAAAGGTTCTTCGTGAAGCACCTTTATTTTTAAGAGTGTATTTGTGAGAAGTTATACAACACTCTCAGAATAAAAGGTACAAAAGCTGTCACTGGGATGGTACCTATTCAGAGGGGTCCATATGTGTACCTTAAAGGTATGTATCAGTACCTAAAGTGTACATATTAATACCTAAAAAGTACAAAAATTTACTTTTTTAGAAGGTTCTGCCCC